TTTTTTTTTTTTTTTTTTTACTTGCAGCTATATGGCAGCAAATCAAGCAGTATAATAGACTAATTAACAGGAACACTAATGGGCGCAGTCCAATTCCTGACTTTACCAATGTCTGAGACACGTGATTGCGTGCACTTTGGATTTACATCATTGCTTGTTTTGCAGAGAATCAGGCAGCTGGGAAATTTTAAGTTTATATACAAGACTACTTTTTAAATCTAAGTGGGCCTTTGATAAGTGAAAGAAAAGAAAGTCACAGATACTGGAGCTGGAAAGGTAGTTTGTGGGGGTGGCAAAAGCTTTTCTCAACAAGTTAAATATTAAACCCATAAGCACTGAAGATCTACAAATCAGTAAGGGACAGAGTTGGGGCATACACCTAAAGTAAACTGCTTTACTATAATGTAATAGCAACTATCCTACTTAATGGTGTAGGACACTTGCAAAATTGCTCATAATTTAAATGATGAAAATCCTGCCTTTTCATGTGATTTTGCACATGCAAACTCAGTCCGGTATTTGTCACGAGAGTGGGTATAGGAACACAATGGTAGATGCTAACACCCTCTTCCCTCCTGAAATAAAAATTCAGAGTACAGACCTGTGCAGCAGTTGGTGAAGATAATTCTCGCATTTTAAGGAGTTCCCATAGCAAATTTATTAACGGGAAGGTTCAGTGAATTGACACTAAACACAATGTTTAGAAATTCACAGTGGAGAAATGTTGCCTGCTCTACATCCACTTAGATGCAATTGCTGCCTTTAACGCCAGCAATACAGATGTCAACTATTGTTACCTAAGTAGCTTTGTCGTAACGGTGAGATATTAAGAAGGGTGAAGAACACATACTGAAAGTAGGCAAGTCACGGTAACATTTTGTTCTGTCATGCTGTACAGTCTTAGTTAGTAACTGGGGAGAACCGAAGTCACGTGACAAAATGTTAGTAACCAGAATATTTTCTGGGCTTTGGTGAGGAAAAACAGCCGTTTTGCACAGAAAACAAACTGAAGTTCTGATGTGGCCTCCAGTCTACCCGAGGCTGATTGGGGTTGATGGCTGCACGGTAGGTCGCCGCAGCTGCGGGAGAGACCCGGCACTGGTGAACGTGAGGAAAGAAGGGATGGTTTGTCCTTCTCGCCCAAAACGGCAGCTTTTCTCCATTCATTCAGATGCATGCAAGTGAAGCAAGCATACTCAAAGCAAGCTGAAGAACAACTTTACCTGGCTGGTACTATCTTCAGTTACGAATGAGAGAAACTGTCATATCACTAACAGATGGAAGAATATTAGGAATGAGGGTTTATTGAACTTCAAATGGTTATGATCATTAAATTGATATAGGACCTTTGGGAATTTTGGCTACTTTTGCCCACACTTGATCAGAGCAAGGAGGGCTCTCGTCGAGTACATCATCTATCTTTTTGGATCTGGACAACAGTTACAAGAACATTTGCTTAGCCTTTCACTATTTTGATGATCTCTGAAAAAGGACCTTTGCCCTGCGTGTTTAAAGGGTCATTAAACTTGAAAGCTAGTAGATAACGTAAGTTAGAGTGAATCGGGACACCATGTACCATGGTGGCAGGTTGCCCTGCCATGTGGTGAAGTACTGAAGCCACAGTCTTCATTTACAGTTTTCTTTCCCATGCCTGAGAAATCCCTAACGAAGGGGAAATTGCAATACCAACCATAACCCGTCATGCACTTCACAAACCAAATTAATCTCGGGCATTGTTGGGATCTGAATATTTTTAAATACATTGTTTTTCAATATTATTTAAGTCGGCTCAAGTGCTTTCTCTTGCAAATTCCCAGGTGGCATTCAGGCACATATTTACATGAAATTTGAGAGAGATTCTACTGATTGCCTACTGGCAACCCTTTAGGCTACTAAGCCCAACTGCATTGGCTGGGGGAACCCGCCATATGGCAAATTGGGAGTTTGGCTCCACTGATGTGGAGAAGTCTGTGTTTTCCCAGTTGGAAGCACGTAAGGAGAATTTGTATTATAGGCTTTACAGTAACTGCAAGCCAAACTTCAGATTTCTAGACATAGCTGGTTTTAAAACAGAAAGGCCGCATTACATTGCAGCTGAGATGCTCCTGGTGCTCTCGCTCATCTTTAGTATGAACTGCCGGGATCGTTTAGTTTATATTTAGCAGCATCACTGACTCTGGATGGGAAGTGGTGAACTGTTTATCAGGACCATCCCCCTGCAGGACTCTCTCCCTGGACAGCAAGAGTTGGGCAGTGGGGATAAACATATCTAATTTTCATTTACCTCTCCTCTCTTACAATGGCATCATCAAACACCTGAGAGAGACGCTTCAGCTGCTGAATTCCTGTGGAAACCAATTCCAACTCGCACTCAAACTCTCTGAAAGAGATATTCAATGGTAAGAGTCAAATGGGACGCACCTCTTAGGTTATCTGAATCCAGCCCCTTGCCACCGCAGCTGTATCTTTCTAGTTATGTATCCTAGTCCTCTGTCCTGCTAAATCTTAGGACTCTAGGAAAAAGCATGGCCCCCACCCAACCTTAGCCAGAATTCCCTCTTAACTCTTTCTACAGGATGTCGTGTAGGGATGGTGCGCCACAAAGGCTTACAGATCACAAAGAGGATCCACCCTTACAAAAGGGGAGGCGGGGGGAAGCATCTTTGCTAACCTAGGGAGGAGGGTTTTCAACTAGGTTCAGCATGGGGTGGAGACAAAAAATCCAAAGGTAAGTAAAATGCAAGATGATCCAGGTCAGTGTTGCTCAACCAGGATACCATGGCACCCTGGGGTGCTTTGATATCCTTTCCAAGGGTGATGTGGGGTGCCACGCAATGTTAGCTTTGTTAGGTGCAATAAATCCAGAGATTTCAAATAGGAATCTGCAGTTAAAAACATTCGGACCTGTTGTGGCCATTTTTTTGCAATGGAATACTTGCTCTGTTATTTCTCTTTAGTCAAAAATGGGTGGGATTCTCCACGTGGTGCCTTGAATCTATTGGGGGATGGGCAGGCACAGTTCCTTGAACCTAAAAAGGTTGAGAACCACTGACCTGGATAAAGGCCTGAGAAGAAGAAATACTGTGAATCTTAATCGAGTTGCAAGAGGGAAAAGTAGTGGGCCATTCAGCTGCTTATCCAGCTCAGCTACTGGGGAATAAGCAGGAAGAACTGGAAGTCCCAGTATGCACACACAATCATCTCATTGGGATCACTAAAATTTAGTAGGATAGTTCAGGTGACTGGAATACTGTCATGGATGGATAAAACTTGTTCAAGAAGGACAGCAGGGCCTGATGCGATTTATCTTAGTTCTCAAGGAACCAGCTGAGTTAATAACAGAGTAACTGGCTATTAGTTTTGAGAAGACATGGAGCTCAGGTGAGGTCTCAAAAGACTGGAAAGGGACAAATAGATTGACCTTTTTAAAACAGGGATCACAGAGGGCAGGGGAATTACAGACTGAGTCTAACTTCAATATCCAGGAAGATAGTGGAGAGTAGGAAGGAATCTATTTAATACTTTTTAAGAATTGAAGCACCAAGGTGAAGAGGAACAGCCAATGTGGATTCGTTAAGAAGGAGTCATGCAAATCTCATGTGGCCTTAGTAAGGCCAGTGAGACTGGCCAGTTTCTCTCTACCTTATGAGACACTGCACTCCGCTCATTTTTCTTTCCTGCCCACTTAAATTTAACTTTTTGAGGTGGGGGGCTGTCTTTTCATTCTGCTTTTACACAGAGCCTAGACGGTAGGAGCCAACCCCAGGTATTATAGTAATATGCAAAAAAAACCATCCCCCAAACCCCCAGCGAAATGCCAAAGAAAATACGTAAGTCTAAATGATGTCAGAGATGGCACCAGTGCAAACTCTGGGTTCAAGCTGCGTATCTGGTATAATCACATGATATGTACTTTATATCGCCCCATCAAAGAAAAACGGACTTTTCCCTCCCCATCCTTGTGCGAAATGAAGTTGCTGTAACTTAGTTTTATGCCACAATCAGTGTATCTGAAAGCTGGGGCAACAACTTTGTTACCTTCCTAGCCATGTAAAATACTGCCTTGTTTCAGGGAAGTAGGGTGGTAGCAAGCTACTCAAATTGCAACAAAAAGTAGTAGGAATTACAAACAAGGGTGGCTTGCCTCTTGCCCGTGGCAGGTGGAGGTGATGAATATGGGCTCTTCAACGCTGCTGCTCTCCTAGATCTGCGGAGAGGGAGAGCATCTTTGCCCAGCCAGTTAGAGACGCTTCGCCATTCTTTTACCTGGAAGCTTCTTGCAGACCCAGATGAGAGGGAGGCTCTCTTGCTGGATCGGGGGGTACTTCTGGGGCCAGATGCTGGGGCGGCAGTTCTGGAAAACCCGTTCTTACGCCGAGGAGTTTGAGGGGGTGTGCTTCTTTTCTTGGCAGAACTTGCAGGGGCTCTGGCTGGAGAAGTCACTAGAGGTTGCTTGGGGTTCTGGCAAGACTTCTGGATTTTCTGAAATGCAGGCACATGAGGATTATCAAATAGCCATATATTTTATACATGAACTAGAGACATGGTCTGAAATTAATTGAAAGAAATTCAAGAAGGACAAGTAGAGTCCTGAAGTTCAGAGGGAACAACTGCACGCATAACTATGGGCAGGCGAATGGTTGGCTAGGTTGCAGAACTGCAGAATCTGACCTGGGGTGTCTACTCTGTTGCAAAGAAAGCCAGTAGCATGCTGGGTTGTACTAACAGAAGTGTCACCTGCAAATCAAGGGAAGTGATTCTTTTACTTTGGTCAGTGCTGGTGAGGCCTCAGCCAGAGTAATGTGTCCAGTTATGGGCAACTCGCTTCAGAAAAGAGGCAGGGACAAATCGGAAAGAGTCCAGCAGAGAGAAAGTGAGAAAAAAAAATAGATATTTAGGAAATATGCTTTACAAAGAAAGTTTGGAGGAAATGGGATTAGTTTGTCTGGAGAAGCAAAAAACTGAGGTGGGATTTGATAATAGTGTTAAAGTACCTTAAGAGTGGTTATAAAGTCGATTGTGATAGATTATTTTCTCTCACCATAGGGACAGGATGAGGAGTAATGGTCTCAAATTACACTCAGGAAAATTTCAGTTATATTTTAGGAAGAAATTTTGTACTTTGAAGGTGGTTAAGCATGGGACAGATCTGTGGAATTTCCATCCTTGGAAATCTTTACGAGCAAGGGGTTGGACTAGACGCAGGGGTGGGCAAAATGCGGCCCGCCAAGTCAATCTATCCAGCCCGTGGGACCCCTAAAAAAAAATTAGAAAATTAATATTAACCTGCCCTGGGCTGCCTGTCATGCGGCCCTCGATGGCTTGCCAAAACTCAGTAATTTTATTTTGGGCCGTCTGCCCAAAATAATTGCCCGCCCCTGGACTAGGGGAACACCTGGGGTCTAGAGGAACATCCAGCTATACTTTTTTTATAATTTACTATTTTAAAAGCTACCTCTGTGTAATATGATATATGAGAGAAAAAGTGTTTCTATGTTTATTGCAAAAGAAAGATGTTTTGTTGAAGTATTTCTAAACAGGACTTCTTGCATTTTCCCCTCTGCGTCATTTTCCATTTTTGCTATGGCAAAAAGAACATTTACCATTGATAAGACAGTCGTATTTTCAGTTACAAAGCCCTTTGTGCTCTTTGGTGGCGGCACACTATGTGCAGTGTTGAAACAACAGGCCAACAGGTGAGGCCTTCCCTCCCATCCATATTCTGTTGCAAGGGTAGGTACCTGTGACACTGTCCCAAAGGCGTTTCTTGCTGTTCTGGTAATAGCCCGGAAGGTTTGTGGCTTCTCTTTTGCTTCCAGACTTTCCCAAGTGGGATTCTCATGGAGGTTTAGCTCCACCTGCTTTAAGGGCATTCGTTTTCTCAAAGACATGCGGATGGTATTGAGAGAGCTTGAAGAAGGCCTCTTCTTAAATTTGTCCGGCACCGGGCTTTCGTTCTCATCGATGTCGGCCAGTAACTGGTGTTTTCTCCAGCCCGCTGATACCCCGACGCTTTGGAACATGGATGCCATCTCTCCCCAGGCCTTGGACCACGCTCAAGTCTAAGGACATCAAAGAAAGGTATTAAACAATGAACTGAGACGAAGCAATCCAAATGAAAAAGGATACACCAGCGGCATAGCCTGTTCAACAAGTCCTGGATCTGAACGAAAAACGCTTTCCCCAGACCCTGTCCGTAAGCCCAAGGCCAATTATGAGACTTGGTAGGTTTCCACCAAATGTCTTATTTCTAAAGCGACCCATGTTTTATGAGCAGATGAAGGGATGTGAAAATACGAACTTTCCTAGACAACCTCTGTAGCAGAGGTGCACCAATATATTGGTTGCATATTGGATCGGCACCATTAAAAAGGAAAATTGACATAATTGGCCATCAATAATTGCTTTTTTTTTTTTTTTTTGGCCAGCGTAGCTGTAACATCACCAATAAATGCTGCATGCACGTACGCAGCTGCAGCACATGTGGCCAGGAATGCAGCCGGCCAAAAAAATCTTTATCGGTGCACCTCTGCGCTGTAGGGCTGCGATTGGGTTTATGCTAAAGGAGGAAAGAGGTTCATTCTCCAACAGCAAACATAGTGCTTAATTGCTAGTCAAACAATATTTTATGCTTTTATTTTTGTTGCTAGTGTATGACATTTTGCCAGGATAACACTGCTTTTATGCTCTCACCTGCTGTCTCTATTTTGCATTGCTGGCTACAGAGGTTGACCCAGTTGTAATTCTAAGTATTGTTACAAGAAGCAAAGATACGAATGCCCTATCTGAGGCACTGTGCAAGGTCCTCTGTTTGGTTCCTCGTACCAAGGTGGATTTAAATTTTGGGCTTGGTGAATCACGTATGGGTATATCACTTCCATATACTCTTAGTACAACTTCTACGACCTCACTTTGAGCTAATTGACCCTTTTAAGGGAATGTTCACCCTTCATTCCCATCCATTTTTCTGGATTTTGGTGACTAGTAGATTGGGTCTCCTTTGCGGCATAGTCAGCAGACAACCTACTCTCAATTTCCGTGTAAGGGAATACTTTAAGTTAGTAGCTCTTGCTAATAAACAAGCCCCCCATGGTGAATCGCTGAACTGTACAAACTCAGAAGCAAGCTGCTTTAAAAATGATATAAAAGAAAAGGCAAGGTAAATTGCATTCAGATATGCTTTAGTGATTGAAGATAAGAGCAAACTATGTTTCTCAACACTCCACTGCATATTAATAAATGTACCACAGTGTATAAGCATAATGAAGCTTTAAAATGGGCACTCTACTGAGATGTGCTGCATGCTCTGAAAGGGTTTTGTGGATGGCTTCCCTCCATGCCCAGTCTCAGCAACCACCCATCCATCTAGCGAACGCCCACGGTCAGCTTCTGCAAGGGCTTACACAGGACAGTAATATCAAAAGCACATAATAAACTGATGACTTCCTTAAATATAATTTTGCATATAGGTGTGAGGACGAACTGCAATATGCACAGCAGTTTCACTAATTTCAGGAATGTGCAAGAAGCAACACTGGTTTGGCAATATCGTTTATGGGGCCATTTAGCGCATCGTTTACTGGCATTTATTGTAGGTGGAGGGTAGGTTAGGCAAGCTTTGGGACACCAAATGTCCTTCTTCAGGTCTGGGAGAGAAGCAAGGTAAATACCATTTAGGAAAAATTGCTTTTGTTTAACCCTATTGCGTGAATAAAAAGGATCACTTTAGAACAGCAAGTAGTAAACCTGTGGAGGAAGAAGGTATCAGAAGTAGTTACAGACCAAGAAAAGACAAGTTGCTATATAGTTAACCCCCGTTTTGTAAGAGAAAGAGTTCACAAAGGAAGAGGATACACAGAAAGGTTAAGAGGGGGAGCAGTAAGTTTTAATGAGCTGTCACTGTCTTTGGTAAATGCATGGGCTTTGGTGACCAGTGAGGTTACCCATTTTTGTTCCCAAGCCCTTCTTAAAGGTTATCTAGTCAAACCTCTGCCAAGCCGTGCTGGTGCGGGTATGGGCAGGTGTGCATGCCCTCCACAAAACTATCTCAAGACCTTACTTCAACAAGTCTTTACTGAAGAATGGCCGGAGATCAATGTGTGCATACGTGCAGTACGATGCGAATGCCGGTGACCTACAAATCACAGACACTCTCCCTTGACTGTTATAGCTCTCAAAAGGGAGGGGGGAGTCGCGCGCCAATGGCTGCATTTGCACAACAGCTCCCCGACAGCATGTTTAGGTCTATCTGGCTGCTGCTACTCGGCCACTAAGGCCCAGGCGTCCTTACGAATGCACCCTGCAAGTTGCTCAGCCCTGACCTCTCGGCTGAGAATGGCAGCCTGCTCGCTTGGGGGCTGCATCCTTGTCACGCTCATGCTGTTGCTAGGGTTGCCAACCCTCCAGGATTGCCCCGGATTCTCCAGGAATTAGATATAAATCTCCAGGAGACTGCTGAGAGTCACCCAGGAGATAAAGGAAGAGGCCAGAGGAGAGCCACGCGCATGATCAGAGGGCAAGAGAACAGGCCTTATGAAGAGAGGCTGAGAGCCATGGGACGCTTCAGCCTGGAAAAGCACAGGCTCAGGGGGGATCTGGTGGCAGTGTATAAGTACATCAGGGTGCGCCTCAGGATCTGGGGTAACACCAGAGCGCCCGGAGGGATGTCGAGGTCCAATGGTCACAAACTCCTACAAGACTGTTTTAGGCTGAACATAAGGAAAAAACTTCTTTACTGTCTGAGCCCCGAGGCCTGGACTAGGCTCCCTCCGGAGGTGGTGTGAGCACCTCCTCTGGACTCTTTTAAGAAACATATGGATGCTTTGGGATCCTTTGACCCCAGCTGATGTCCTGCCCCTTGGGTGGGGGGCTGGACCCCATGATCTTACAAAGTCCCTTCCAGCCTATAAAATGCTAGGCCATTCATTAACATAAATATTAAATGTTGATCCGATGTATACAGTAGTGCGGTGGGGTTTTTGAAATGTCACAGCTGTGCGCCCTTGGCTTCCCAACCTAAAGCCTGCGCCCTGTGCTCTGCGACACATCGAGGCAAGCCTGCGGGCACATTCGCGTCGCGGGCAAGCTGGCCTTCTGGAAATGGATTCAAGCAGCGGGCATCCCACCTCCCTTGGGGGTTTTCTTTAGTAACCAGCAGCAGAAAGCAACGCCTTTTGGGTTTTTTTTGGTTTTCTTTAGTAACCATTAGCAGAAAGCAACGCCTTTTTTGGGGGGGGGAGGGGTGTTAGGAAGCATCAGCCGAAAGCAATGCCTTTTTTCGCTGGGACCTCCTGGCCGCCCTGCCTCCACAGCCCCGCATCTTTTCGGTTTACAGTTGCTCTCCGAGCAGGCCCCGAAGGTGCAGGTCTGCAGGAGCGGGCCGGAGCCGCGGAGCCCCCGCGCCGCGCAGCCCCACGGGCCGGAGCTCCCCGCGCCCGGCGC